TCAATATCAGCTGATGATCCTAGGACTCAGATACTGATTTTAAAATATCACTACCCTGTGCACTAAAAGGAAAAATAGCTGATTATAGATTTTAGGGCAGGTACAAGTGACCATGAGACATCATTTAAATAAAAAAAAAAGAAAGAAGAGCTCAGAAATAAATATGGAGATGTCAAAAGAACAAAGGAGGATTTTCAGTTCTAGTTATGACAAAGTAGTTTGTTTCAGACTAACCCTACAAATAAAAATAAATATTAAAATATGAACAAAGTACATGAAATCATTGTTTGAGAGTAATCAATGCAAATAAGACTAGGGTCCCTGAGAGGAGGTAAGCACTACATTTCACTCTGGTTTTGTTTTTGTTTTGTTTTTTTACCTTAGGTCATTTGACAGTTTTCAGCATGAGAGAATAGGGTCCACATCGAAAAAATGAGTGTTACTGAATGGAGGACAAAAGATGGAGTTCAAGGATGCCAATGTGCCAGATACTTGAGGAACAAAATCTGAAATGGAGGTAATACTAGTGAAGTGAGTCCAAAAGTCTCCGTGCAGTTTTCCCTTGAGGTATTGCCAACTCTAAAACCGCACCAAGTAAGATTTCAAGAAAACCACAGAAAAGACCAAGGTGGAAGGCTAAAGATCTAGGAAAAGACTTTAGCAGTAACACAGTGCTAGCTCATAAAGGTTCGAGTTTAAGCCCAACAAGGTGAGGTGAGGCACTTTGGTAACCACTCTAAGCTTTCAGATAAGACCCACAAAAGTTACTGTCTAGGGGTAAGGACCATACTCTAAGGATAAGTATCTTGGAGAAAGATCAGAGCTGAAATAAATTATCCCTAACAAATCTAAAACCAACCTTCAATAGATTTAGGTTGATCTGCCTATACAATAGCTACCTACCAGAAGAAAGGTTAGTCCTATTTGGAGAAAAATAACATCATCCAGAGTTTACAGTTTTTCATACAAAATGCTCATCATTCAATCTAAAATAATGAGGCATGATTTAAAAAAAAAAAAAAAGATCAAATAACTGAAAACCTAGAGAGAAAAACAGACAACAAAGCAAGTATTAATATATTAAATTTAAAATAATTGTGATTAATATGTTTAAGAAATTAGAGAAAAAGTTGGAGACTTTCACAGAACACCTAGTATCTTTTTTTTTTTTTTAAGAATAAAAATGTAAAGGGGTGCCTGTGTGGCTCAGTCAGTGAAGCGTCTGCCTTCAGCTCAGGTCATGATCCCAAGGTCCTGGGATCAAGCTCCACATCAGGCTTCCTGCTCAGTGGGGACCCTGCTTCTCCCTCTCCCTCTGCCATCCACCCCCCCAACACTTGTGCTCTCTGGCTCTCTTTGTCAAATAAATAAATAAAATCTTAAAAAAAAAAAAAGAATAAAAATGTAAAGTCAAACTGAAAAATATACTAAAGGTAAGACATCAATGTACTGGGTTCAACAGCAAATTAGACAAAGCAAAACTTAAGATTAGTGAACTTTAGAAGAGAGGTGCAGTAAGAAAAAAACATACCGATTGAAGTGCAGAGAGGGGGGAAAGGGAATATAAAATACAGAAAAGAACATAATAGGTAAATAGGACATGAAGAAAAGATCTAACATACATGTAATTAGAATGTCAGAAGAAGAGAGAGACAACGAGATAGAGCAAAATTTGAAGAAATTTTGACTGGGAATTTTCCCAAAACTGACAAAAGTCATCAAACCACAGATTTTAAGAACAGGAGGAAGAAAAGCAGAAAGCAAACCACATTTTAGGCACATCATATTCAAACTGCTGAAAACCAGAGACAGAAGGAAAAATCTTAAAAAGCATGGGGTGGGGGAGACAGTACCTTAAAACAGCAACGATAAAACTGTTGGCTAACTTTTCAACAAAAATTATGGAACTCATAAGACATTGGATTAATAGCTTTTACTGTGCCATAAAAAGAAACAAACAAAAGCTGAGAAAATCTGTTGCTAGTAGACCTTCCACTGAATAAAGAATTCTAAAGGGAATTCTTTAACTAGAAAGATAATGATCCCAGGTGAAAGCAAGAAAATTCTGGAAGTAAGATAGTCAAAAGAGAATAAAATATAAATTAACATTGATTTTTTTTAAAGATTTTATTTATTTGACAAAGAGAGTTAGCGAGAGCAGGAACACAAGTGGGGGAGTGGGAGAGGGAGAAACAGGCTTCCCGCCGAGCAGGGAGCCCGATGCGGGGCTCGATCCCAGGACCTTGGGATCATGACCTGAGCCGAAGGCAGACACTTAACGGCTGAGCCATCCAGGCACCCCAACATTGATTTTTAAAACAATAATGTGTTGTGGGGTTTAAAATATATACTGAAGTAGAATATATAGCAATAGTAGCACAAAAGGGTGTGCAGTGTGAATGAAGTAAAACTATTGTATTAGAAATTGGTAAAAAGAAAGGAAGGAAGGAAGGAAAAAGAAAAGAAAAAGATATTGGTAAAAAATACTAATTTAAGGTAGGCTGTAATTAACAAAGAATTTACCTTGGAATCTCTAGGGTAACAAAAGAAAAAAGAATCTATAACTAACAAGCTAATAGAGGGAAATATTGAAATAATGAATATACCTAATTAATTCAAAAGGAGACCCAAAAAGAGAGAGAGCTGAAAGAAAATGAAAAATGGAATCAATAAGAAGTAGCACTTTAATATGTAGTCTTCACTTAAATGCAACTGTAACACTGCTTTAAAATATAAATATACTAAATGTTAATTAAAAGACAAAATAATACACTGGATTTTTTTTTTTAAAGATCTAACCATATGCTTTTCAGATTCAACACGCTATATATAAGGACACAAAGAGATTGAAAGTAAAAAGATGCTCTAAAAATTATACTAAGCAAACATTAACCAAAGGAAAACTATTGTAACTACATTAATATCAGACAAAGTAGACTTTTTAAGGCAAAAACAAATATTACTAGCAATAAAGAGGACACATTTTATAATAAGGAAAGGGTCAATACTGAATTTTAATATACATAATAATATAGCTTCAAATATAGAAAGCAAAAGTAGACCAAATTAAAGGAGAGATGAAGAAATCCACAATCCTGGTTAGAGATTTAAACACACCTCTGTCAGTAACCAATAGAAAAAGCAGATAAAAAAAATCAGTAAGGATATAAAACATTTTATTAACATTTTAACTAATTTATTTTATAGAACACACATATAGAACACAAAATACAACTTCAAAATTCTCTTTCTTCTCAAGTATACAGTGAACATTTACCAAAATTGACCATATCTAGGCCAGTAAGACAGGTATCAATAAATTTCAAAGAATAGAAATCATATAGAGTACATTCTCTTTCTGCAGTGCAATTAAATTACAAGTTCAATATCAGAAAGTTCATTGGAAAAATCCCCAAATGTTTGTAAATTAAGCAGTATATTTCTAAATAACCAATGAGTCAAAAAGAAATCACAATGGAAATTTGGATGATATTTTTAAATGAATAATAATGAAAATAGCATCAGTTTATGGGATATAAGTAAAGCAGTACTTAGAGAAATGTTCAGAAACTGGAATTGGTATATTAAAAAAGAAAAAAGATTTAAAATCAATTGTCTCAACCAGGGATCAGCAAACTTTTGCTGTAACAGCCAGATAGTAAATATTTTAGGCTTTGTGGGCCACATGGTCTCTAGCAACTACTCAAGTCTACCATTGTAGCACAAAAGTAGCCATAGACAGTACATAAATAAATAGCAGGGACTGTGTTCCAATTACATTTTACTTACACACATGGGTGGTGGGTAAGATTTGGCCTGCAAGCCATAGTTTGCCAACCCCTGATCTAAACTTCAACCTAAGAAACTAAACAAAAAACAAACAAGCAAATGGGCACCTTGGTGGCTCAGTCGTTAAGCGTCTCCCTTCAGCTCAGGTCATGATCCCAGGGTCCCGGGATCGAGTCCCACACGGGCTCCCTGCTCAGCGGGAAGCCTGCTTCTTGCTCTTCCACTCCCCGTTTGTGTTCCCTCTCTTGCTGTCTCTTTCTCTGTTGAAAAATAAATAAAAATCTTTTAAAAAAAAACAAGCAAAAGAGAATAAAAATCATACAAATAGAACAGAAAACAATGAAATAGAACACAAATGTACAATAGAGAAAAATCAACAAAATCAAAAGATGAATAAAATTGATAAACCCCGAAGAAACTGATTAAGAAAAAGAAAAATAACAAATTGCTAATATCAGAAAATAAAAAGGAGACATCACTGTAAAACCTACAGTCATTATTAAAAGTCATTATTAAAGGCATATTAAAAGGACACTATCAATGACCTTATGCTATTAAGTTTAAACATTTAGATGAAATGGACAATTCTTTGAAAAACACAATACCTCAAAACTGATGGAAGAAGAAATAGGAAACCTGAACAATCCATACCTTTTAAAGAACTCGAATCTGTTATTAAAATACAGAAAGAAAGAAAAAAACCCTCCACCAAAAATATCCAGGCAAAATTGGCTTTACTGGTGAGTTCTCCCAAATATTTAAGGAAAAAATAATTCAGTTGTACACAAATTCTTCTGAAGACTAGAGAAAGAGGGAATATTTTCTAACTATCTTTATGTGGCCAATGTAACGTTAATACAAAAACCTGACAAAAACATTACAGGAAGGAAAATTACAACCCAAAATTCTCATGAATATAGTATAAAAATCCTACCCAAAATATTATCAATCAAATCCAATATTATATAAAATGGTAATGAAACATGACCAATGAAGTTTATTCCATGATTTCAAGGTGGTTTTAACATTTCAAAGTCATTCATTCATAGAAAAAAAGGAGAAAAAATATTATTATGATGCAGAAAAAAGGCACTTAATAAAATTCAACACCTATTCATGATTTAAAAAACACTTTCCACAAACTAGGAATAGAAGAGAACTTCCTTAATCTCACAAAGGGTACATTCCAAAAACCTAGAGCAACATCATACTCAATGGTAAAATATTGGAATAGTTTTCTTCTGAGTAGGAATGAGATAAAGATGTCCACTCTTACCATTATCATTATAGCATTGTACTGGAGCTCCTAAAAAGTGACATGAGGCAAGAAAAGGAGGTAAAAAGTATAAAAGCTGGAAAGGAAGAAACCAAACTTTTGTCATTCACAGAAGCCATGGCTGTGTACATATCAAATCAAAAAAAAAAAGAAAAAAAAATGGGGCTCCTGGGTGACTCATCGGTTGAGCATCTAACTCTTGATTTCAGCTCCAGTCATTATCTCAGGGTTGTGAGATTGAGCCTGATGTTAGGCTTCGCACTCAGCATGGAGTCTGCTTGGGATTTTCTCTCCCCCTCTCTTTCTGCCCCTTCTCCAACTCATGCTCTCTCTTTTTCTCTCTCTAAAATAAATAAATCAAATCTTTAAAATAAGCATTAAGCCGCAGCAACTTCTTGCTAGACACGTCTCCAAAGGCAAGGGAAACAAAGGCAAAAATGAACCATTGGGACTTCATCAAGTTAAAAAGCTTTTGCACAGCAAAGGAAACAATCAACAAAACAAAAGACAAAAAAAGACAACCGACAGAATGGGAGAAGGTATTTGCAAATGACATATCAGATAAAGGGCTGGTATCCAAAATCTATAAAGAACTTACCAAACTCAATACCCAAAGAACAAATAATCCAATCAAGAAATGGGCAGAAGACATGAACAGACATTTCTCCAAAGAAGACATCCAGGTGGCCAACAGACACATGAAAAAGTGCTCAACATCACTTGGCATCAAGGAAATCCAAATCAAAACCACAATGAAATACCACTTCACACCAGTCAGAATCCCTAAAATGAACAAGTCAGAAATGACAGATGTTGGCAAGGATACAGAGAAGGGGGAACCTTCCTACACTGTTGGTGGGAATGCAAACTGGTGCAGGCACCCTGGAAAACAGTGTGGAGGTTCCTCAAAAAGTTGAAAATACAGCTACCCTACGACCCAGCAACTGCAGTACTAGGTATCTACCCCAAAATACAAATGTAGTGATCCAAAGCGGCACCTGCACCCCAATGTTTATAATAGCAATGTCCACAATAGCCAAACTATGGAAAGAGCCCAGATGTCCATCGACAGATGAATGATAAAGAAGATGTCGTATATATATACAATGGAAATTATGCAGCCATCAGAAAATGAAATCTTGCCATTTGCAATGACGTGGATGAAACTAGAGGATATTATACTAAGCGAAATAAGTCAATCGGAGAAAGATAATTATCATATGATCTCACTGATATGTGGAATTTAAGAAACAAAGCAGAGGATCATAGGGGAAGAGAGTAAAAAATGAAACAAGACGAAACCAGAGAGGGAGACAAACCATAAGAGACTCTTAATCTTAGGAAACAAACTGCGGGTTGCTGGAGGGGAGAGGGGTGGCAGGATGGGGCACTGGGTGATGGACATTGGGGAGGGTATGTGTTAGCACTGGGTATTATATAAGACTGATGAATCACAAACCTGTAACCCTGAAACAATACATTGTACATTAATTAATTGAATTTAAATTTAAAAAATAACAGAAGTTTGTAATATCAAATCTCAGTTTAGTAGGGATACTTGTTAGATCTTGAAATAAATGTGTCATTAAAAAAATAAAATTAAAAATAAAATGGTAAGCATTAAAGGTATTCAATATTATTAGTCATTGAGAAATGTAAATTAAATCCACAGTGAGATTTTATTGCACAACTATCAGAATGTCTAAATTAAAAGACTGACAATAACAGGTGTTAACAAAGATGTACATCAACTGGAACTCATACATTGCTCTTATAGTATAAACTGAAATAAACACTATGGAAAACCAATTTGGCAGTATCTACTAAAACTGAATATTTACCATATAACCCAAAAATTCTTCTCCTGGTATGTGTGTATATATAGGTATATAGGTCTATCTATCTATATTTTATATGTATCTGAGAGAAATAAGTGTTTATGTTTTCCATAGTATAATGGATAACTATACTTATTGTGGTGAGCATTTTATAATGGATATAAATGTAAAATCACTATGTTGTGCACCTGAAACTAATATAATAATGTATGTCAACTATACTTCAATTTAAAGAGTAAAATAAATTTTTTAAAATATTATAATGGATTAAGTGTGGTATTCATGTGATGAAATACTATACAGCAAAGAAAATAATTGTATGCAGTAAACAAAGATGATTCTCCAAACAGTACATAGTTTTCAAGAATAGGCAAACCAGGGGCACCTTGGTGGCTCAGTCGGTTAAGTGTCCAACTCTTGATTTCAGTTCAGGTCATGATCTCAGGGTCGTGAGATTGAGCCCCACGTGGGGCTCTGCACTGAGAGTTAAGCCTGTTTAAGATTCTCTCTCTCTCTCCCTCTGGCCCTCCCCCCTGCTCACGTGCTCTCTCGCTCTCTCTCTAAAAAAAAAAAAAGGGAAACTAATAAATGGTGATTAAAGTCAGAATAATAGTTACCTTGGGGTAAGGGTGTTTATTGATTGGGAAGGGTATGAAGGAGCCTTCTGGGGTGCTGGAAGTGTACTGTCTTGATATAGTTGGTAGTTTCATGGGTGTATATATGTGTAAATAAATTGAAAGAATCTTTCTTTTCTAAATTCAACAATAATTTTTCCCAATAATCAGCCGGTATTTTATCGAGTTATTTTTAAGTGAAACAGAATCACTGCATCTCAGCTTGCAAAAGACTTTTAACAGTCATTTAGATAGGTATCTAAATTTTGAATCCTTAGTTATCACAGTCTTATGAACGAACTCTAGGTCACAAAAAGACTGAACCCCTCTAGTGTGAAAACATTCATTCTACCACCCAAGGCAGTAAATAAATAGCACCATTCCCATTCATATAAGAAGAATTTCCTAATTTTGTCTTTTTAAAAGAAGCAGCACTGAATGATGGAAATGAGGAGGATTCTTAGACATTCTTCAGGAGAGAAAGTTAAAAAAAAAAAAAAGTTCCTAAATCACATAGAGCTTTTTACACTGCAATCCTTCTCACAAAAACTCACCTTGAACCTGCATGCGAGTTCTCACTAGGTGCAGGGGGTAGCTGCAAAACTGACCACAAAAGTTAGAGAAGGCATTACAACCCATCAAAGTCAGCAACCCAGGGTCTTCTGTATCAGTGTTTAGCCAACAAGTCTTCAAAAGCTGGCAGACAACAAAGTAATAATATATTTTAATAACTATTAAGAAAAAACCAAAATAACAAAATGCTAGTGTCTTTTCTTGCCATAGGCATACACTCCTTTCTATCTTTTATGTTACATTATAGCAAAGAATATAAAATGCAGAATGCAGTAATCCAGGACAAAGTAATAAGAGCCATAGGACATTTCTGAACTGCCAATTTTTAGTGTAATTTAATGCAGTTAAAGTTAATAAAGCCCTCCCCCCAATATTTCCAGGGCTCAAATTATCTAAATATTACCTCCTTAACTAAGCACTATCCTAGCAATTAGAATTATTCAGAGGTGTACAAACAACCAGCGATCAGAGAACCTTAGTGATGGGAACTCACTATCCACTCAACTATTAGAGCCCTGATTGCCTAATCTTTAGGGAAGCTTACTGTGTCAAACTGCATTTCCTCTAACAGCAATATCTTTGTTTCAGGACTCCCTTACACTCTTTTTTTTTTTTTTTTAATCTTATGTTAATCCCCATACATTACATCATTAGTTCTAGATGAAGTGTTCCATGATTCATTGTTCGTGCACAACACCCAGTGCTCCATGCAGAACGTGC